TAAGATAATTCAAAACGGCTGCATTAACCGAGGAAGAAGACATAGATTTAAAATCATTGGAGGATAGATCTAAAAATTTATTATCAGAATGAATCTGAGGGGAAAAGATAAGAGAGTCGTAAGATTGCTCGTAAAGAGGGAGTTTAGTTGAATTGATAATATATTGGTGGAAATTTGAGATAGAATGTGCTATAATTGATAATACGGGCATAGATTTAGGAACATATCGCCAATTAAGGTACAGTGAGTAATAAATGTCAAAGATACGGTGATCGCTATAGGATAGTGATTTCAAGAGAAATTTGCCGGCAAGCCAGCGGCATCTGATATTAAATGGAGGGCAAGTAGATTCAACTTCCATAGCAGGGCAAGGTGTAGAACTGACGTAACCCATAATGGTTCTGATACATGAGGCTTGGAGTTTATTGATTTTTTTCCAATTAGAAAAGGAAGCCGATCCGAAAAGAAAGCATCCGTAATCAATTTTGGAGCGTATAATAGACAAATATATAGATAATAGACTTGAAGGGTGAGAGCCCCACCAAGTACCAGTTACCGATCGGAGGAAGTTGGACCATCGAGAAACAAACGCTGTGAGAGTAGAAATATGTGGAATCCAGCGCAATTTGGGGTCGAGAGTGATGCCAAGATAGGTAATATTGGGAACAAAAGGGATAACATAGTTGTTGAGATATGTATTAAGGTTGTTTAAATATCTACGACGAGTGAAAATGATCGATTTGCATTTTTCAGGGGCAACATCAAAAGACACTTTGATTAGAATATCATTCAGATCTATCAGGGCAGAGTTGAGGCTATCGATAGCAAGATTAAGATGTTTATTAGAAGAGAATATTACTAAATCATCAGCGTATATAAGACATTTATGACCAGACTGAGAGAGATGCTTTTCAACAATACTCATATATACATTGAATAGGATTGGGCTGAGGCAGCTACCTTGTGGAAGGCCAGTGAAAGTGGATCGAGTGTTTGACGATCTGAAGGGAGAGAAGAAAACAAGTTTTCTGAAATTGAAGAGAGCAGATAGAACATTACAGAACTTAGGGGGGACATTTAATGAGAGAAGATAGGTAATGAGGGTAGGAATGTTCACGGAATCGAAGGCGCCGCGGATGTCCACAAATGTGGCGACAAGGAATTCCTTATTATTAAAAGCATGGTAAATGTTACCAATGAAAGTCGAGAGGCATTCCATAGTACCTAAACCCTTCCTAAAGGCAAACAAGTTTGCAGGTAGAACAGAGTTGGATTCTAGCCACCAATCAAGTCTTGTTTTCAGCATATATTCGAAAACTTTGCAAAGAGAGGAAGAGAAAGCAATTGGACGAAAGGAATCATTAGAATTAGGTTTGGGGATAGGGATGACACGATAAGATGTCCATGAAGGAGGAACCTGATTGGATGATAGAATGTTATTCATAATAGATAGAAGGTAAACCAGAGCATTTGAGGGGAGGTGTTTTAGCATGATAGGTGAAATGTTGTCAAGACCGGACGCAGTAGATTTTCGTGAAGATATGGCTAAATTTAATTCTGACATGGTAAAAATATTGGTGAGAATATGGGGTGGAGAGTATAGAGAGTGATCAGAAGGGCAAATCTCTGATATAGAAGGGACATAGCACGGAGCGACTTTAAAACAAAAAGAGTCGAACCAATCGTCATTATCTGGTGGTCTGACTGGGTTGATACAGTTTTTATAGCGCTTAGCTGTTGACCAAAGGTGATGTATGGGGAAAGATGGATTTAGATTAGAACAAAATTTTTTCCATTTTTTCCTCTTTTCATTTTTTAATAGCCTGGTAGTTTGGGCACAAGCGTTTCGGTAATTAATAAAGTCAACCATGGAGCCTGAGCGACGAAAGTTTCTAAAAAGAAGGGTTCTGTTTTTGACAGCTTCGGTACAGTCAGAATTCCACCAGGGAGGGGAGGGTGGATAGGGATTGGAATTTAATCTTTTCTTAGGAATTGTAGAATTGGCGGAGTTGTTTATAATACTTGTAAAGGTAGAATAGGAAAAAACTGGAGAGGGAGAATTTGTCAATGAAGAGATAGAATTATGAATTTGAATAGAATACGATGACCAGTTGGCTTTATTGAAGTTAAAAGGTAAATGGATTGGAGGTGCGGAATCTAAGGCGGAACAAAATGGCACAGGATCAGGGATCCTGTTAAAATTAGTTGATATGATAATGGGGATATGATCGCTACCATGAGGATCATTGAGGACTTGCCAAGATAAATTCCAGATAATATCAGGGGAACAAAAAGATAAATCAATTGCCGAGTTAGTTGAGTTGGGGCGACCCACATGTGTAGGACTACCATCGTTGAGAGGACAAAGACCTAATGAGTCAATGCAATCATAGATCTGAGAACCACGGCGGGATGTAAGTTGAGAGCCCCAAGCGGGATGAAATGCATTAAAGTCGCCACCAAGTAGCGTATTATGCGATATCAGTTTAAAGAATTCATGCCATAAATTGGAAGGAACATTAGAATTACTGGGGATGTAGCAGGACCAAAATTTTAAAGGAGGATGTGAGTTGATAAGATGCACTTCGATACCTATAATGTCGATTTTACAGTGGGTAAATCTATTTCTGGTAGCGATATCTAAAGGAATTTGTTTGGATTTGAGGGAGTTATGGACAGCTATAGCTACACCACCATAGCCATCGGAGCGGTCGGATCTATAGGTTTTGAACTGCGGTATTGTAAGGGCACGTGAAGGTAAAAGCCAGGTTTCAGAGAGAAGTGCAATTGAGCATTTATGATCGGATAGGAGGTGTTGTAAGGATGGGAGACGTGCAGGGAGACTTCTCACATTCCATTGAATAATGTTAGTGTGATTGTTGGAGATATTCTGGTTTTTATATTTATGTAAAAATGCCATGGTAATTTTAATTTATTTTGTTTTGTAATATGTTAGTTTGTGAGTAAATTATATTTAGTATTTTCTATAACTGTGGTGAGGACATTTGGTGTATAATACAAGACTAATCAGAGGTGAAATTAGAATCTGGAATATTAAGGAGTGAATTTAGAGAAGATTCAATTAAGGACTGAAGAGAGGTGGATGAGAAGGGGGAAAATAGGGAGGGGGAATTTATAAGAGATTCAGAGAGTTTAAGAGAAAGAGAATGAATCCAAGATAGATCAGCAGATTTATTGTCTCCGATAAGGCTTTGATTAGGGAGATTGGTGAAACAGCAACCGTTAGGTGAAGAAAAATGAGGTTCAACTGGTAAATTTAATTTATCTTTATTAATCGGGGAGCGAGATTTTTGTTTTATCTTCCTAGAATTGAAATAATGATGGTGATTATTTAGCCTGGGGAAGTTTTCTTCCTCTAGGGAGATATTTGGTTTTAATATTTCAGAGATTGGAGGCTGGCTCTTAACAACATCGGAAAAAAGAATAAGCATTAGTGTAACAATTATTTTTTTTAAAAATTAAGGCATCCTTAAAGGAAATGTTTTCGGTGGCCATGATGTGTTTAATTTCTTTTTGAGTGGACCATTCGCGGCAACTACGATCAGTGGCTAAGTGAGGTTGCTTGCAGAAGAGACATACAGGATCAGTGGATTGAGCGCGTGGGCATAAATCAACCGAATGATTGTTTTCACCGCAATGACTGCACCTGGGACAGCTACGACAATATTTTTGTGTATGTCCAAAACGTAAACAACGATTGCATTGAACGGGAGACCGGACACTGGGCTTGACATCAAAGATCATATTAAATACAGAGATAATGGATGGTATTTTCGGAGCGACGAATTTAAGTTCAACTATACGTGTTTGAACGATTTGATCATTTTTTTTAATACTGATGCGTTTGAATGCATCAATCTTGACTGAGGATCGGACGCCTTCGAAAAATTCAGTTTCTGAGACTGTAGTGTCTAATTTTATTATTCCGTAAGAAAAAATTAGAGTAGAAGGTATAATTGCATTATAATTATTCTCCTTTAAGATGCTTGAATTCAAGCAGCAATTACCATTAAAAATTGTGTCGAAAGAAATTTTTATTTTTTTTGAACCAGCAGGTTTAATATTAGTAATACCAGAGAAATTGTTTGAGAAAAATTTAGCGGCCTTAATAGGATGCCAGTTTCCTAAATTTATATTAGCGTCCGTACTTTCAACGAGAATGGTTATAGGCCCGATATAATCTGGCGAAAACGACTTTTGCAATAAATTGATATGTTTATTAGTGTTTGCCATATCGCTGTTGGTTGGGAAGGTAGATTGAATAGAAGTATCATTAAGTGAAGAAAAAGTACAACCAGTATCGAACTCATTAGAACGATCATTAACAATCAAATCCATATCGTTAGCCGTAGACCCCGACGTAATTGCGGTTAGTGTAGATAAAGAGCTATAATTGAATGAGGAGTTAGATATATCTAGAGTCGGCGGGTTGTCAATAATTTGTTGGAAATTTGGTGAAACTGGACAAGAATTTTTGATTGGCTTACCATTTTTCCGACTACCTGGTAACCGGGGCCAGCAGTGTTTTTGACTTGTTGATTTTTAAGCTTGTTTGACAACTGGTTTTGGCCGGCACGATTTGTGCCACCCGAGGACGACGACATAATTAACGCACAACTAAAATAAGAGCGATAACACGCAGCAAGATAATATAGGTAGTACGACTCAAAGAAAACACGTCTGAACGCTAAGACTGCGAGGAGACGAATGAAATGTTGCAGATATTATGTTTAAAGTTAATATTTTAAGTTAAAATAAGTTTAAATCTAGTACTAAATTAAATACTTGGTTTTATTATAAAGATTAAAATAAATACAGTAAATTCTCGTTATGTCGAATCTCAAGGGGAACAGAAAAAAGTTCGAGATATCGAAAACTTCGAGATATCGAGTTTTTTTAAAAAATAAAAAAAGAATAATATAAATATATGTTGTATAAATGTATAATGTATATATGTACTGAAATGACTGAATAAATTATTATTTTTTAAAAAAATCTGTCATTAAAGTTCGCTTAATATTACTTCTTTCTGCCACGACGTCTTCCAAATTAGATAATGCAGAAAAAACCTTATCATCCATACCTGTAGTAGTCTCAACAAAATTCCTTTTTAAAGCATGTTTAGCTTGTTGAATTGTAACTTGGGTAAAAATGATTTCTTCCTCATTTTGTGGTTCGTCTTCACTCTCGCTGGTATTTTCGATGGTTTCTGATAAAATTTCGTTATCTGTCCATGTTCCACATACGTGTACATTATTGTCCATTTCCACATAATGTGAAAAACTTATTTCGTCTAAATTAAGATGATCAGCAACAAAATTCCATTTATCATCAGAAATAGTAGTTGAGATATCTAATGCAATTATATCACCGTCTTTAAAACCGGCTTTTATGAAGCAATTTAATATAGTCTGTGATGTTACACTTCTTCAAGCCTTATCAGACATTCTTATAGCTTCGAGTATGTTTATAGAAAATGATTCGTTGTTATCGATATTATCGACTAACCGTCTGATTATTTCTTTTCTATAAAACATTTTGAAATTCTGTATAACGCCTTGGTCCATGGGCTGAAGTATAGATGTTGTACTAGGTGGTAAAAAATGTACTTTAATGGAACTTAATTCAATATCGTGATTATGAGCTGTACAATTATCTATGAATAGTAGAACTTTTCGATTTTCTAGTTTCATTTTTCTACCAAAATTTAAAAGCCACTCACTAAATAATGACGAAGTCATCCAAGCCTTTTTATTTGACCTATAGTCAACTGGTAAAGATTTAATTCCTTTAAAACACCTAGGCTTCTTTGCTTTACCTATGACAAATAATTTTAGTTTTTCAATTCAGACATATTTGCTCCTATCATAATTGTAATGCGCTCTTTACCGTATTTTCCACCCGAACATTCTTTACCTTTTAACATTAATGTTTTATCTGGTAAGCATTTGAAAAATAAGCCCGTTTCATCGACATTAAAAATATTATTAGAAGAATAACCTGCTAAGACATCAGGAAGATTTTTAATCCAATTTGAACAACAATGTGTGTCTACTGAAGCTTTTTCTCCACAAACAGTTCGAAAAACTACATCATGTCTTTTTTTCCAATTTGTAAGCCATCCACTACTAGCTATAAAATTAGTGTGTCCTAGTTGTTGTGCATATTCGTTTGCTTTTTCAAGTAAAATTGTTCCATTTAATGGTATGTTTTTATCTCGACACTGAGTATTTTAGCACATTTTAGCAAACATTTATCAATGTCCAAATAAGGAGTCATCCTCATTTTTTTCATATTTCCACAATTGAACTTCATTATTTTCTCTTTCTGTTTAATAATTGACGATAATGTATTTGGTGGAATATTGAATTCATTGGCGATTTCACATTTTTTACGATCACCTTTTTCAACTAACTGTATTAAACGAACTTTGTCCGAAATTGAAAGAACATTTAATTTACGTTTTTTTTCCATTTTACTACAAACGAACAAACGAACTACGAAAGACTACAAACGTGACTACCAACGCGCTAAATCACACTCGCTATACTGCACAATGTATGCAATGTACTGCACTAATGTATTGCTCAATTCCTGTTTTAACCACAATAAAAATATTATTTGTGAACTCGAGATAACGAAAAACGATTAATTTTATATCGAGTTATCTAGAGCAAAACACTATTAAGTGTAATAGTAGTTTCAAGGGGGATTCAAAGTAGTTCGAGATAACGAAAAATTCGAGATAGCGACGTTCGACATATTAAGAATCTACTGTATTAAGTATAATTCTGTTATTATCTGTCAGCCAAATCGTATAATATTAAATGATATTAAATTAATTCATGTTATAAATTATTTAATTATTAATTACTATTATCACTATTTTATTGTATTCATATTATATTATTATTATTATTATTACCTTAAATATTGTTAATTCATATTGTTATATTAATATTTATACTTACTGTACTATTATTATCAAAAGGTACCCACCCTTTTATAATATAAAATATAAAAATATACCTAATCGAGAATAGTAATACATTTAATAGTAATTTATAATAATTAATGTATAACTTACTTTCAAATAAAGTTAGTACTGCATGAGGATAAAACCTATTCTCTTGGAAGTTGCTAAACATATTATCCTCAAAATGAAGTGAACATATGATAACTTATATCTTTTCGCAAGATCACTAATGTCTGTGGTTGGTAAAAAAACAGGATTAAATTTTTCAATCTATAGAATACATCTTAAAAATCACAAAATAATACATTATTATAAAAGTAATGATTAGAGCAAATATTTCTTACTTTATAGGATCTTTAGGGAAATTAAAAAACGATTTTTGATTTCCGACAGCATTTTTGTTGTATGCAAATTGGCAATTGTACAGTGCACACTTAATACTACCAGTGGAACTTGTCATTTTGAAAATTATAATTTAAACAAAAATAATTTTCGAATTACAAACAATTTCAGTAACGTTAAACAGTTGTAAAAAATGCAAAAAAAAAAAACTGAGAAAAATTGGTAACAAGCTGAGAAAACGCATGAGCAGAAAAAAAATGGCAGTCTGAGGTCTTTAAATGTCAGTTTTATACTTATATTTTTATTAGGTCATAAAATTTTCTTCGTTCATGGATTAATTCCTAGACTTTTTGAGGGTGGGGCATAGGGCTAACAACCCTGCCTTGTAAAGGCACATCCCTCATGTGTTAGAAATAATCGGTCTGCTAGTAGAAAAAGTATAAATCCCGATAAAAATGTTTACCAGTATGGCCAAATCTCATAGAACAATGGGAATTTTCTACTAGTATGGTTACCTATGCAAATTTCAAAATGCCGGGAGTTTCCTTTCTGGTTGTTCTCTGGTAGTACCTATAAAAATCTGGGACCCAACTAGTGTAGTACCTAAAGTAATTTGGGAACCAACTAGGTAGTGCAGATAGTAATTTTAAATTCGTGACCAAATTCGAATGCAGCCTTTACAACAACCTAATAATGCACCTAATTAAAGTTATTTATTTACCGTTATCATGTTAATAGTTTTGATTAATATTATTTATTAATTTTTTTATTAAATAACTAGAATTTGATTACTTCATTTTTATACTTACTTATTATTTCTTTACCAAAATATTTAATACGTACATCAATATATTTATAATGATAATAAATAATTTAAAACGAGATAAATTATATCAGACTAAAGGCAGTGATATTGTTTGATATATATATAAACTGATAATAAGGTGGTTGGTATGCTGACCACTGTCCAGAAAATAATAAAAATATTTGAAAAAATGGTGAAAATAGTAACCACCGCACTTGAACGGTAAAAAAATAGTGATTAGCATACTAACTACTGCCTCTCAAAGAGTTAGGTTAGTTTTTGTAATATTTTATCAGTTTACAAATATATTCAGAAATAAAAATAAAGCATTTTCTATTTATTCGTACCTTCTAGTATTTATTCTTGTACTGAAATATTTATCTCCAAAAAACATTGAATATGGGTATTGGTTCTTAAAGTTTTATTTTTTTTTATGAAATTTTCTGAACGAAGTTAAAAATATAATAGTTTTAAAATAATATGTTTTTTTTTAAGTAAAAATTACGATAATGATCCAAAATTATCAAATAAATACATCCTAAAACTGTTATAATTTTACCTATATCAGTACCTTTGGATAGTAAATTATTTGAAACTCAAAATGTATAATATAATATTATTAATAATAACGAAAATACGGTAAAATATATTATAAAAAGTACATTTAAAAAAAATAAATTTGGATTGATCACAAAACCGAAGTGTAATTTATTAATGTTTTTGAAATATCGATCGATTAATATTATAATAAAATTGTGGTCTCTATTTGATTGCAATTTTATATTTATATTTAAGTATTAAAAAAAAAAAAAATACGAAGTCAAGCAAAATTGATAGTTATCTATAATATAGTAAAATTATAAATATTTAATTTTTAATCACATCAAATTTAATTCCATTCTATAGTTATTATGTTTTGGAAATTAAATTATTCCTGCGTTCGCAGTATATCATTCAAGTCATGAACACGATGATTCAAACCTTATTTTTGATCAAATTTTACTGTCAGTGCCCTTGACAAATAACGGAAATACGTATAATATATACGTAAATATGTATTAAAATATCCAATTTATGTTCGTAATATATATTTCAATAATTTATCATACGCCACGGTTCATAACTTAACTGCACACAACATAATTATTATATTAAACTGTACGAGTTGAATCAACAGTGGAACTATTTTAATTGAATAGCCTCAAACTAATGTAATTTGCAAGGTAATACTTAATTGTCGTATAACACATTACAACGGGGTATAGTCCACGTTTAGCCTGACCTACCGATGCTACTATAGCTCCTAGCGTCGCGGTAATAAAGCATCTCGGGTCACCCTCGTATTTTCTTTTAGAACGTTTTCCCACTGTACACACGGGATTGATTGTTAGCTGTCCCTGCGGTCCTAATTCTAATTTAAAAACTGGGAGTGCCTGCAACCGACCTAAAACGGGCAACCCCTAAGTAGTCGGTAGGTTAGGACAAAGGAAAAACATAACCTACATACAAAAACTGTACGACAATGTATTGAAGAACGTTTGGATCATGTTCGTTGAAATAAATAATATTTTTCGTTATCGTGTAGTGATTTAGATATCGCTGTAAAAATTTAACGTATTTAAACAATGATATTGCGAGCGATATACACTTCACATGCCATCCATGCAAGATTTGTTGGTAAATCTACAAATATATTAATGTATTTATGATAATATTTGATTTGTTTTTATCATAAGTTATTGCTGTCGAAACCAAACATTAAAGCGCTACAAGTAGTTAAGTATATTCAAATCTTCATCCCTTTTTCAAGAAGATAAATAAAAATTGAAATCCATTACGGACCCTAGATAATATAAATGTAAAACATCTCGAGAATCAATATGAACGCGGTATGTATGTGACCTGCGGGACCGGCTTGGTTCGAACCATAACATTGTTCGTGATATTCGAAGATATTTTCATGAAATATTTTCTCTGACAGCCACTCGATAACATCACGTGGGACGTCATAATAACTGATTGTTTAAAATATTGTATTTTTTTTTTTTTTATGATATTTTGTATATCGTTTGATTTACACGATTTATTTCTGCATCTTTAAAAATACCGTATAAAGTATACTAACGGATATATTTATTTTTTTTATCGATCCCGGTCGTAGTAGATACGACTTATATATATATATATATATATATATATATCCGCTAGGATTTTCAACCGGTGCGTCGTGGTTTTCGGAGGTGTAGCCAACAGTTTTTATCAAGGGAGGTCGGCGATAGAAAATAAAAATCTTGTTTTTATTTTTTATTAGTACTATCACTATATTCGTACGGGAGCCGTTCAAATTGTTTTCAAAATCAGAAGGAATCAAAACGGCTGAAAAACTGTTTCATTGCGCTCGTTCGGTCAGAAACAGCCGATCATTCTACATCCCTGCGTCAGTTTGTTTCTTACAGCTTTAATATTACGATACGACACGTTCGTCAAGTTGGACTAAACTTGCACAACGTCAACGTTCAAATCATTGCTCCGAATCACCGAAACCGTGTTCGTGCAGTGTAAAACAATCACGCGTTAGTTCTCCGAATCCACGTGGTGCCTTGCAGATGTTAGTATTTTCGTGGTATTATTTATTTATTTGGTACTCGGGTATTACATTAAAAATACGCTGAAATAGAGTTCGACCATGTAGCCGGGTACAGCACAGGTATGATGTGTAACCATTCCTTACGAACGTATAGAAAAGCGCACTTTAAAACTAATATAGCTGTTCGGAGAATACGCAGCACCAATCCGTATAATATATAATCATTGATTATAAATACTAATAATATATAATCAATGATGTACAATTATATAATATATAGGGTGGTCCCTATTTTCAGACGTTCGAATTTTTATTGCTGGAGTATCCAATTATTTTTTTTCGTGTTATAAAAAATTTACATGGATGAAATAATACTCATTTCTGACTCCTTAGAGGCTCGAAAATAGGCTAAAGAAGATATCTAGGTTTAATGAATAATTGTGTTATATTTGAAAAATATAAGATCTATCGAAAAAATATAATGAACTTATGTTCTAGAACAATTTTTTTATAAAAAATATATCAACAACATTTTTCTTAGGTAAACTTTTCCCCAAAAAAATAAAAATTGTTTTATGACAAATTGATTTTCTTTTTACAGATATTTTAACATATATTAATAGAATTTTTATTGCATTTCATTTTTAGTAAATTTATTGTTTAATTATTCTATAAGCTTTACTCCTCTTTCAGCAGTATCATTAACAAATCGTATGAAATTTATAGTCTTTTTGGCCAACTGGTATGCAGGATCAAAGGCGTATTTAAACTTACTTCTAGGGAAGGGGACTCAACTTTTTTCTTTAATTCAGGCTCAAAATGTACAGGTAAAATTTTTGGTAATATTTAAATCAGGTGAATCCTTAATATTTATGGTTTTTTTTTTTTTAATCTAATGCCGGTTCTATTTAGAATCGATTTTTGGATAGTTTTTTTTTAACACCTGTTTGTGTTATAAAAGTTACGCTTGTGTTTTATTTGATTTTTCACTAAGTATGGTCCCAACAAAAAGCACAATTCAGTATTCACAGCTACGTGTAATTTGATTTCACTATAAAATGATTCACATTAAAAAAAAATTGAATTAAGTATCTCATATATAATCGATTCATTAAATATGGATTCAGGGAGGAGGATCGCCCTCTTCGCCCCTCCCCCTATAATACACCCCTGTGCAGGATTATCATTGGTTGAATACATTTATAGGTTTAATATAATTTATATGATTTATAAGTTAACAAATTAACTGGTAGTTCTTTGTTTAAAATTTCACTTACATCTTCTATTATCCACAATTCTTTCAGTACCGATAAAAATTCGTATCTACTGCCGGTGTCAATTCTATTCTTAGAAAATTATATTTACATAGTTTGCTTTTAAGAATGTGTTTATCCATTGAGCCTATCAAACATATCGTCTTTCATGGAGTTTTAACAAACAAATAAACCTCAACAATTTTAAGATGCATAAACATTTAAAAAATGTAACTTTAAATAAAAAAAATATTATATACATGATATATAACGTTTACGAATCGATTAACAAAAAATATATACGAATTCTCACTGCACAATTAAAAATTAAATCGTAATAAATTATAGTTTATAAGTTAATTAGCTTTTTACTTGGGCTAGGGATTTTTAGCACTCGCATTTTATTATTACAGACAGATATATTTTATATTTAATTATTTTTTATAAAATATACAGTTTAATAGATTCACAAAAAATGTTGTAAATACATTTTTTATAGAATATACTCGTAATTTTCCCTACAATTTAAGTTCAATACATTTTTACGATAAATCTTATATTTTTCGAATAAAATACAAAAATCCATTAAACTATCCTCTTTAACATATTTTCAACCCTCTTGGGGCACAAAAAAAGGATGAGTAATTATGCTAAATCACTTCTATTTAACTTTTATATGATATTAAAAAATAAATGGGAGGGTCCAACAATAAACACAATAATATTTTTTTTATAATTTATAACTGAGGATAATCCTAATATATACGTAAACATAATCATTGATTTACAATTTTTGTAGAATTTTTTAAAATCAATGATATTATGTAAAACCGAAAATAATATTAAAATTACCATGTTGCAGGTTCCAGTCCTTTGTCGCGTTAACCGCGTTATTTGTTTCATTTTAAAAGCGATATGACGTGAATAAACGAGTTCGAGGAACTTTAATAAAAGCAAATTAACGGGCTTTGTTAAGTAAATTTTCAAATTTCATGCATTTAGACACTAATCTTATCAAAAGAAATGCAAACCGTTTTGGAACAAAATCTAACATTATTTTACGCTATTTTTTCTTCACTTTTCCTTACGCACAAAAAACATTGTAAAAGGCCAACTTTAAAGCACTAACCGTATAATATATATGTATATATATATATAACGTACGAGTTAAATATTAAAATAGAGCTCAATGATTTCATCAGTTCGAAAACTAAATATTAATTTTATTGTAACCTCATGATCAAACGAAAACCAATCTTTATGTTTAATCTTTTCGGTTTAATGATGTTGTGTTCGTACTTATAATGTCTATGCGAGTATTTAATCCTTGCTAGATGTTCATCTTTGAAAACTGTCGATATAAAATTTTGAAAATGGTTGAGCTTAAAAGAAGAAAGTAAATCAGATGGAATATTATTTAACCGAAACTAAAGGTTTCTGGAAAACTTAAATAATATGAGTTATTCTAATCTTTGAGTGTGACGAAGAAATTGTGAAAAATATGTAGAAGGTCTATTGTTATTATCTTCAGTGTTTTGTCGAAAATAATGTTTTGGAACAATGAAATCAATTCCCACCTTTTGGCTATGAAATTTTTTTAGGAAGAAGCGCTTCCCTAATGTGCGGAATTATCGGATGATCAACTATATTGTAATGTAGCTTACAATTTATAGAATATAAGTTATTTATTAGTGTATTGCGATACATTTCAAAAATCAATTATATACATCCAAGAAAAAACATAAAATATTTTAGAACATAATTTGTTATTTTAGATAAATTATTATTATTCTTTTGTTTTTCGTTCAGAATAACAATGTCATTTTTCGATAAAATTACTTTCTCAAGGAAGTAGTTAAGTAGACTTAAAATTACGAACCATTTTCATTAGATATATACGTAACGGTACAAACTCAATAAGAAAACAGCGATCATAACATTATTAATCAGTTATTTGAAAAACAATTTTACAATATTTTATTTAATATTCATATTTTATTTGAGCATCAATATACTTGTAAGATTAAGTTATGTTGAGTATTCGTAGCTGTTCTACGTTTTTTTTAAACCGTTCATTTTTATATTTTCTCAACTTAAATTACGCAATATTTAGACCTTAGTTACAAAACACAATTCACAAGACTGGGCAAGTTATTGATATTTTTTAACTCAGTTTACTAAGTTAATTGAGTTAATGTTCAATTAAGTTAACAATTAAATTAAGTTAATGCACATGAGAATTACATAAATAAAGTTAAAAAAATATCGTTAACTTAACTTAACTTAAATTAATAAGTTAAGTTAATTACAAAAAAAAGTATTTACATTAAACGCAAATACAAGTGATATATATGTTACGGCTAATGTCCGAAACATGGCTAAAGTGCACATTATCCAGATACTGTGCACTATAGCCAGTGTGGTTGTATAAAGTAAACAATTAACATTTAAAATTATAGTTTTGTACACATTATCAAACTAATGTAACTTTAGCCATCATGTTATGGCTAATGTAAAATATTATTAATAAATTCATAATTATATTTTATTTCGATTTAATTAATTAATATAAGTTAACAATTAAATAATAATAAACTACATGATATTCCCTATATTAACCTGGTATTTTAAACATTAGCCACTTATTGTTGGTATAAAAAATGGACAAAACCTGGTATTATATTATAATTATATTTTCAATGATATTTTAAATATAAGATATGAAATTACTTATGGTGCTATTTTCATGATGTGAAGGCCGTAAAAAGATAATATGGGACTATCTATCACTAACATTTATTTCGCGATTATTTATTGTAATCGTTTGATGTTACCTTATGAGTTTAAATCAGTTGAAATTTAGTTGTGTTCGGAGTAAAACGTCAACGTCTGAAATATAATGAATTCAAAAGACAATTTTTACGTGTGTTTTAATAAATTAATTGCGGGAAAAAAACAGAATTCGATTTATTTATCTCAAAAGAAATGTTTTGAAATAATAAATTAAAAACGCAAAAACAAACCGAAAAAAATTTCTTTTTTGGCAAATTTGTTGATTGTTTCATCAATGTATGCAATAATATCTTTATGCACATTTAGCAAAACCGAACCTGTTAGTCTATGCTGGCCTATTCTTGATTTTAACCATGTTTTAAATTTATAGAAATATATTTTTAGCCAATATTTGCAAGTTAAAGAATATGGAAACAAATATTGTCAGTTATTATAATTATTATTTGGCTAGGAGCTTCTAGCTCTATAAAATACACAAATATGCATGCATTTGTGCACAAAAAAAGACTAAATACCTATGCACAACAAATAGTACCAGATATTATGTTGTAAAAAAAAAAAAGAATAGGCGAGTAAAATTATTAAGGACTTATATAGCTCTAATAAATACAAAAATATACAATATACATAAATGCATCAAAAAATGACTAACTAGTAAATATGTGGTAAAAAAAGTGTTACTTTAAATTACTTTATATTATCTGCTAACGCTTGGTTGGATTTTTGAAGAAAACAATAAAAAAACTAAAAACAAAAAAACTGATTTTATTTCAAAGTTTAGGAATCATAGAAGAAACTGTAAATACATAGAACATTACGAGGACAATTGGACGTGGCTATAAAAGAAAAAAATCATAATTTATTAAATAAATATCTTGGTATAAACTGCCTATAATTAATTAAATATCCATTTTGGTCAGACTTGGACTAAGGGGGGGGGGGGCAAAGGGGTCGCGTCCCCAGGGCTCACAATGTTATGGGGCCCCCCCGGACAAAAATTAAGAATTCTAAATATCATTGTCACAAAAAATTAAATTAGGTATTAAAAAAAATTATATCGTATAATATTAAATAATTAAGTTTAAATATGTTTTTGACGTTTTTGTGGTATTTACAGTATTTCACTATTACCACAGAATAAAGAAATTACAGATATTACAGCGTGTATTTCTATTCTAGATGGTTGAGTTTGATTACCGATAAGATATATCAATAGTTTTGTTATTAATTTATTATGAATTCGAGTTTTTATTGTATATAATCTATTTATAGATTGTTGAGCCTCGTAGCGCGTGTGGGAAATGCCACTATAGTGATTACTCTGTCTGACAGAATAATGCATGATAACTAATAATAAAACTTATTGTGTTATTATTTTAAATCGTGATTATTGGTACCTACGTCTTATGAGTGTTGTACTTTTGTTGTGTACTTCTTATTCTATAAAATGACAAGAGTACGCATAAGCTCATAGATATTAGACACATCAACATTTAATTATTTGTACGGGCTATACGAATTTTTTTATTTCATATTTTTTAATTTGTATTACCTATTTCACAATGAATGAAAAAAAAAATACATGAGTGGATATCAAAAAAGGAAACTAAAAGAAAAAAAAATGAATTGACTGCTGCATTGCCAAAGATAACTGGATATTTTAATAGTAATAATTGCGATTTATTACCAAGTAAGTTATACCTATTTTAAATTTTTAAGCAATATCTATAATATAATATTAATTAAGTATATTAATTATATATGTATAAAATAGTACAGTGTTGATTTTCTAGTCTATTGTTTTTACCTATATATATCTATATAAGTGTATTATTCATTGTTTTAACAATTTTCAGTTAATAATGATAAAATTGATTCAACTGCAAATGAGGCAGAATTACAAATACCTGTAAAATGTGATTCTGCTCCTGAAAGTGTTGAATTGAACGATTATAATGTAAATTCATCTTCATATATTGATCCATATTACTGGCCAAGTGAAGTTCATAATAAATTCCTACAATTTTGTGTAGATAAAGGACCAGAATTCTTCCAAAATAAAAATAATAATTTTAACCAATCTGCCCGTTGTGATGGTAAATACTAAATTATAATGTAACCTCATTATACAAATAATACCTAGTTAAATACTGTTCAAACAGAAAATATATTTAATTTACAGATAAAAATCACACAAGACATCTAACCAATGGAATGTTTGTACGAACACTGTCTAATGGTGAAAAATGTCATCGGCAATGGATGTTATATTCTCCCAGTCAAGGAAGTATTTTCTGTTTCATGTGCAAATTGTTTGGAAGTAATCGATCAAAAGACAATCCATTTGTCTGCAGTGGATTTGATAAGTGGAAAAAAAGTGAAAGAATCACTCAACACGAAAATAGTATAGATCACAGAAATGCCACTACAAAATGGTTATTAAGAGTAAATTCAACTATTTTAATTAATAAAGAAATGCGTAGACAAATCTCTGTGGAAACTGAATATTGGCAAGAAGTATTAAAGCGTGTAATTTCTGTAATCAAGTTTCTTGCTTCAAGAGGCTTACCATTTAGAGGTGATAAAGAAGTCTTCGGTGTAAATAATAATGGGTAATTATTTGGGTATTTTAGAACTTATTTCAGAACATGATCCTTTTTTAAAAAATCATATTGAAATGCATGGTAACAAAGGTAGTGGACATCCATCATACCTTTCAAAAACTATTTGCAACGAAATAATTAATCAAATGAATACAGATCTTACTAATCTTATTATAACACAAATAAAAGAAGCCAAGTATTATTCAATCATAATGGATTCCACACCTGATTTATCCAAAACTGATCAAATGGCCATAGTTCTAAGATATTGTACACCAACTAGTATCAACGAACGACTAGTTGAGTTATGTCCATTTGATAATCATAAAGGTCAGTCATTATATTTTATATTAGAAAATTATTTAAAGAGTGTTGGACTAAATATTGAAGACTGTAGGGGCCAGTCTTACGACAATGCTGCTAATATGAGCGGCAAGTATGAAGGTTTACAAAGTTATGTGAAAGATAAAAATAATTTAGCTGTCTATATTCCATGTACTGCCCACTCATTAAATTTAGTTGGTGTGCATAGTGTAGATTGTTGCATTGAAGCTGTGAGTTTTTTTGGATTTATTCAAATGTTATACAATTTTTTTAGTGGTTCTACAAATCGTTGGAAAATTTTAACAGAAAAATTAGAAAAAAATAGTAAAAATCAACTAAGTGTATTAAAGTCGTTAAGTAATACACGATGGTCTAGTCACTTTGATGCTTGTAATGCTTTGATAAAAAATTATAATACCATTATTAATGTATTGGAATTAATTTGCGATAGTAATATTGAAAATGGTGATACTAGACGTGATGCAAAAATTTTATTAAAATCTATATTAAAAAAAGAAACCGGATATTTGGCTATTTTATGGAATGATATATTAGAACGGACCAATAAAACATCTGTTGAACTTCAAAGTAAAATGATTGATCCATTAAAAGCATTTAACCTACTTATATCTTTGAAAAATTATGTGGCTAGTTTAAGAGATTTGTATAACACTTATGAAAATCAAACTACAAAACTAAGTTTAAAATTAAAAAAACATTTTAAAAATGAAGATAATGAAAGACAAATTAAAAGAAAGTGTACAAGTGGATCTCAAAATTCAACTCAGTTAAAAGGTATTGACAAATTTAGAGTAGAAACACATATTATGATTGTAAATAAGTTTGTAACAGAATTAGATAAAAGGATAACTGCATATAACTATGTATCTCAGCATTTTTTATTTATCACTAAGTTAAATATCCAGCCAGATAATGATATTAACTTAAGCTTGGACAATTTCATTACTATATATAAATATGACATAGAACCTTCTATAAAAAATGAGTTGGTTCAATTTAGAGAGTATTGGGATCTCAGTAAACCGCCATTTGATGCTTCAAATGTGCATAAAATATTAGAATGGTTTGAAGAAACAAAAATAAAAGATGTATTTCCTAATAATTTAATTGCAATTCGATTATACTTAACAATTCCTGTTGCAAATTGTTCTGCTGAACGGGCATTTTCAAAGTTGGCACGCATAAAAAATAAGTTTAGAACTAGTCAGACTCAAGAATCCTTAAAATCATTTATAATATTATCTTCTGAACATGATTTGTTACCATCAATTGATTTTCAAGAAACTATACTGACTTTTGCTCGAGAAAAATCAAGAAAAAAATGTTTTAAATAAGAGTACCTACATAATGTATAAATAATTTTTATGAAGTATTTAATAATTATTTTGGTTGAATATAAAAATAACTTATGAACATATTAAATATTATATTATGTGTAATAATTGCAATAATTATTGTTTTAAATTTTTTTTCATCTATAACATCTATATAATTTAAAAATATTTTAGGTTATTTATTGTGCTACATTTTTGGTGCCTAATGGGGCCCATTTTAACTATTTGCCCCAGGGCCCATTATTCTATAAATACGGGCCTGATTGCGGTATAAATGGGATAATGTTTCAGACCGAAATCACTCCTTTGGATATTACAAATATGAAATTTGCACAGTGCCGTATTTAGACATTTTGCGTCCCGGAGCAAAAAAAAAAAAATTGGTGCCCCTCTAAGGGGCCTGCTTACGGAAAATATAGGAAATGGATTCCTAACCTTTTAGATATTCTAAACTCAATGCTATTTTTGTTTAGTAAGCATGCCACCGCACGCCGCACGCGATACCATAATACGCTATATTATTATAAATAATTTATGTTTATTGACATTATCACAACAAATTTGAGAACTAATATTAGGTACATTAATAATATATATTAATAAATTAAATACATTAACATTAATTTATGATACTATTATTAAAAACAAAAAAAAGTAATAATTTCAAAATAATTCACAAGTGAACAATTTCCAACCACAACATTTTGGCACCCCCAAAAAACTGGCACCCGGGGCAGTTGTAGCCAGTGCCCCTTCCCCTAAATACGGCCCTGAATTTGCACCCATTGCTATTGGTCGGTACAGGTCTGTATTACGATCAAACCGTAGATCATTTAATTTCGAAAATTCGAACATTGTGTATAACATGTATATGATACTTTCATCGGACGGCAAACTTATTGCTATCAAAATGAAGATGAACAAGGTTCAATTTCATAATAATTTCAATTCAAGTATCTTAATTTTCTTATTTTTATTTTTTGTCATTTAAAAGCTATTTTTTTTTCCATATTTTTTTATAATTTTTTTATATTTTATATTATATTTTTTTTTACCGCATATAAAGCGATATATGTTTTCAATATGTTTTATATTTGCCGTTTTTTTTTTAACATTTTCATGCGATGCAAAGCGGTAAGTTGAGTTGCTACGGCATTGGTCGGCGACAGCAATGTGTCTCTGTGTATGACTAGCCAGCAACGTAGTTGCGCTGTAATCATTGCGCGGAAATGTCTGTTTTTTTGTATTTTCTTTATAATTGTCAATTTTTTTTATATAGTTAAGAGTCATGAGGTACTGAAATCACAAGTCCTCTGTGTTACTGAAGCATCTTTATCTTCATTATGGTATCCGGCAACCGTAACTAACGTCGTGAATCGATTATCGTCGTATGATATACAATTAATCTTTCGTATCTTGTCTTTTTTTGTTGTGTGCACCTCAAATTCGTTCACGTGTTGTTATTACTACAAATACTTTTTGTTCAAACAATGTTTTACTTTATTTTGATGTATTGTTCTACAGAACTTTATTGCCTTACATTTATTCGTTACCGTGTTTTAGGGTGTTACCAGCATTAATTGTGATTTAATGTGGTTTTCATCCTATGCTGCAAACGTATCTTCGTTCATAACTATGGTTAAGTGGTTGCATGTACGCAGGGGCTGTGCCTTTATTGTATTAAATTCATTGTATTGCTCACATCCGTGGAGCATGAGATGAAATCCACCATCTATAATATAGTCACATGTGAGTATGGGTCAGTTTTAAGTGTCAAATTTATGTTCCGACTAATTGATGAAATGACAAAAAAAGTCATTCAAAAGTTAAGGCGATAATTTTTAGTGAAAAAACATAGGTAATAAATAATATTATAATTAATGAAATTGGTCCGTTTTATAAATTATAATAATAATAATACAATAAAAATAAATAAATGGGCGTGACAAAAAAAAAAAAAAATTAAAAAAATAACCAAAAACCTGACTGAAAATCGAACCGATTCTTCTCTCGAATTTTTTAAGGAATACTTGCGTGAAACAGAAAAAAGATGACGTGCCTCCTTATCTAATGGTTCGTGGTTTTGTATTCTTCTACTGGTGGCACCCCCAGTTAATGCATTCCATAGATCAACCATACATTTCCATAGAATGCATTAACTAGGGGCGTCATCAGCATACAATCCATACTTTTCACCAGCTTTTTAATTCTACATGTCATCTATGTTATACGGCGCCCGAACGAGACAGCTCAGACGCACAGGTGTTTAACAATTTTTACTATTATTTAAAGAAAAGTGTTTAGATTTAACCAGATAAAAATAATAAAAATAAAAATAGATAAGTATCTATTATTTTATTTAAATAAAAATCGTAAATTAATCCTAAATCTTTAGTTATTTACCGTAATTAATCTGGACTTTTTTTTACAATATTTAATCAAATCATTGAAAGTCGTAATTACTCAATAATGAATACAACAAAAAGGTATACAATTGACCCCACTCATGAACTCGTATATCAACACTTTTTCACGGTGAAATTTACAAGTCTATAGCGCTGGACGATGACAATGAATTAAGCTACGTTATTCACAATAGTCGCTGAAACAATGGGAACTGTAACAAAATAGCAATATAACTGCGCAAAACGACACTTACCAAAAGACCAATACAAAATTGATTGAAAACGTGGTTTTACAATAAAAGCTGTAGACGGACGATGAATTCACAAACTTTGCATGTATACCATAGACGCAACTAAAGGGGCACAATAGGATTTTTAGCAACCCTGAGTTCAAATGTAACATTCCTGTTTGTTTTTTTTTTAGATCTATATAATCTATAGTAATTACAATTAAATACCATTTTATTTTCAGAAATTTCAGCACCCCTAATATTTGAGCTATAGCTGCGTCCATGATATACATACGAATACAGACCAAACGAGAAAAAACGAGTCGGTATTGATAATATTTCCAAGTAGGCTATCATCACCGGACACCACAATGAAGATAATTTCCTCAGTGTCACTATCTTAAAATTTCTATACGCGAACTTATGAAAATTTGTGACACTGAGACGATGACTTTAACTTAGACTGAAACATAACCGAACTTATGAAAACACTGAATAACGGGCGTTATTTTTTGGACGTTTTATTATTTTCTTTATGTTCGTTGATAACAATGGCATATGCTATTGGCCGGTCACCCACAGACAAATCTTTTCGAAAATGACCGATACTGCAACAGAGTAACACTTCAAGGGAGTCTAAATACAGTATTTAACCTTGATGATTCTGCGCATGCGGGTGTTATTAACATTAATATTTCGGAGCGTGTGCAGCAAGTGATAGCACTACAACTCAATACAGGCTTTTCCTAAATCATATTTCAGATTTCAGAACAAGAGACAAGAGTATAAAAAGTGAAAAAAATACGAACTACGAACAGGAAATTACTGACCCGGCTCATATATTTGATTACACTTAAGTTTCGGTGGAACTCGAATATGTCTGTACCTTCCCATTACTATAAAAATAGATACATATCCTTCTTACATATATTAGATATTTATAAAGCTGGACTACTTAATGATATTTTTTAACTCAGTTAAGTTAATTGATTTTAGTTAAGTTAATTGAGTTCATGTTCAATTAAGTTAACAATGAAGTTAATGCACTTGAGAATTACATCAACTAAGTTAAAAATTAAGTTATAAAATATCGTTAACTTAATCTAACCGGTGGGACTCTAATTAATAGTTAATATCGAGATGAATATTATGGTCTCATCTAAAAATTCTTTGAAATTTTTATTTTTATATATTTCCAAATTCCATGAACTTGTTATCGAATATGGTATTTTACAAAAATATTTTTCTGGTCTTGAGAATTAAAATTAACTTGATTAGGATAATTGAAAAAATAATACGTTAATTTCAAGTTAATTTGTAAGGAAATAAGTTAATTTAATTTATAAGTAATGAAATAAGTTAAGTTAACAAGTTAAAAAAATTTAACTTTTAACTTATCTTTAATCTTAACTCGTTTTATTAACTCGTTAATAATAAGGCTTACTTATTCGTAATAAACTATAGACGGTTATGGTTTGACTTGACTGATTTATGGCAACATTGGTCATAATTGCACTTCATTTTTTCCAAACAAATTTAATTAACTCGCGAAAAAATGTGTTTCCGTGAATGGCCCCCACCACGTCCAACATATATAATTACATACAAGATAAAATAATATTGTATCCATATAAATTATATTTTCTGAGAACCGTTCGATATGTTTTATAAAACGAACATTATTTTTGAAATAGATTGAAGAGATATAATCTATTAGTCCGGTCTCGAAAGATGGTCTGCTGTTATGCACATTCCTCTATGACTGAGGCAGCCTAACTTCTTTTGGCCATGATCTACTAAAAATATACTTTACCTTTGAAAATCGACTTTCTTGGAAAATTTTTTTTTTCATTAAATAATTATAATTATTAAGAAACATACTTAAAGTGTATATAAATATACATAAAGTATTATAAACTAATTACTAATTACTAATAATATTATAATAATTTCTAAAATCTAAATACTTAAGTCTAATTAACATATTAATATTTATTTTGTTGATCTGGGCATTGTTGAAGTGCACTAGGCCTAAAAATAAATTCTAACATGATTGACTCTAAAATCGTCCGCGATCGACCGTTTGGCCGCCTCTGCTCTACGGGATAGAGGGAAGGAGGAAGACCCAAATGTTTATTGAAATATGTTTTTTTCGCTTCGGCTTTCAACATGATAATCGCGATTAATATTACGAATGACCAAATTAAAACGTGTGAGCAAATCGACCGTCGACTTTGACATTAAATAAATAACGTAAAATAGGTACACCTGAATTTTGAAAAACTATGTATTGGTATCCCATATAATGATTATCTACACGCATGTTGAAGTCTAACCAATCGTTGGCACCATGACTTCGTTGAACACCGAAAAACTTCTATGAACTAAACTCTTCAGTGTCATTTTGCCGTGAGAATACAACAACAATTGTTTACTTTACGGATGTGGCAAATAAGTAACAATTATATTATCATATATCTGTTGACGATTTGCATTTGAACAATGCGTTGATGATACCTAGTCCTCAAATTATAACTCACCGAGGTACGAGTGCGTAAGTTGAGAGTGGTATTTTTTCTTGTCCTGTTAATAATTATTTGTTCTTTTCTGCTTGATTTTTCTGGACATGTCCAATTTGAATTGTTGACTTTTTCATGTTCCTCAACTTGTTACCAAATGTGACAGAGTTTCCATTGGTTAAAATCCTTTTTTTTTTTTTTAGTTTTTAAACTTAATTTATTCATTTATTAAGTCAATGGTTAGTAATTTACTTATATTGTTTGTGTTATTAGTGTTTGTGGCTGAAGCTTCGTTCACTTTTGCGCCTGATTTTTTGTTTCCTGGGATTCTTGCATGTAATGGGATCCATTAGTATTTTACTAATACTTTACTAAATTACTAGTATTGACCTAACCTATCTGTATAAATTTAAATCTAAAACACAAAACATTATTTTAAAGAATCTACCTAGAAAATTATATTTAAATCTTGTTGTGTTTTCACTGAACTTTCAAAAATTGAACTTTCGGTTTTACACACAGATTTTTGGTCATAAAATAAACTTATAATCGAAAGTTTCTCGAAAAATTTAGGCAAGAATCCTAAATACAGCACATTTTCATTTGAAGTTTATTTTCATTTGTTTTCTGTGATTGGGATCAATGCTTCGACATTCACGGACAATTTTTCATTGAATTATTATTTAGAGCTATATTTTTTTTCCTGTAATTTATATTTTAACCTCGTAGTTTGCGGACTGCTATATTCTTCTGAATTTGTTGTATGTTTGTTCCATCAACTGTATATAAAAATCACTAATCATAAATGCTTTGACATTCATAAATAGACCCGTGTTAACTTTTTCTTAACAATTCCGTCACTTTCTTTCATCACTATTTTCAACTCAGATCCATTAATAACGACTTCAATCGTAATAATCTATTTCTCAATTAGTTTGATTTTCTTTCTTTCGATTTACGTTTCTTCGGATTTCTCGGTTTTTAATTCTACTACTAATAATACTACTATTAATTATTCTACGTACTATATGTTTGATTAAGATGATCATTATCGTATAGAATATGACAACGGTTCTTAATCTTTAATAGATCACGGACCCCTGATGAAAGATTTTTAGAAATCGCGGACCCCTTTCTAATTTATTTTTCGAATATATATATTTTTTTTTTACAAAACATCTCATGTTATTAAAACAAAAATTATAATAATTATTTTATATAATACATTACATTAATAGACAAAACAAAACATACATATTTTTAATTATTTTTATTTTACTTAATTTTTCAGTTAACTTTTTACTAATTATTGTTAATTATTGTAAATACTATTATTTGAACTAATTATTTTAGTTTTAATTTATTTTTTTAATATTCTTAAAATGTAATTTTTATTAACTTAATGCAACGGTTGAGACATAAGTTTTGTAACATCGT